CAGTGGTGACCTTGGCAGGGCTGGGGTAAAGGGTGGACTTGGTGATCTGAAAGGTCTTTTCCAACCCTGTTGATTCTATGGTTCTCCTCTGCAATTCCCACAGGAGCAGCTCTCTTCACTTCTCCTTCCTCAGCCTGGACAAGCACCGGGAGTGGCTGGAATACCTGCTAGAGTTCGCCCAGGATGCAGCCCCCATCCCAAACCAGTACGACAAGCATTTCCTGGAGCGCGACTACACGGGCTACGTCCTGGCTCTCAACGGCCACAAGAAATACTTCTGCCTCTTCAAGCCTCACAGATCGGGGGATGAGGGGGGGTCACCTGAGGATTACAATTCCTCACTCCACGCAGAAGCCAGAGGGAAATCCTCCTGCAGCCCAGGATCTAGATCCATTAAAACCAAATTACACAAATTGTCCTTTTGGATGGAACGCCTCCTCGAGGGTTCCTTACAGAGGTTCTATATCCCCTCGTGGCCAGCACTAGACTGAGGCATTTTGAAGAGGTTCTAACAGACTTTTTATGAAGACAACGAGGGACAGCTCTCTCCAGCCATCCACAACCAAGCGTGATGAATGGACCTTAGGGTTTAGATGAACTCCTAGGGCCAGCGACTAGAAAATACCTCCCCGCGTCCAGAGCCCAGGAGTGCAGCCAAGTGCACTGAAACTCCCTCCACCAACTGGTCGTGCATTTGGACACCATCCTACCGAAGAGCCAAGAAGTCCATTTATCCCCTTCTTGACCCAGATCTCCCCAGCTCCACCTCTCATTTTACCTCGGATGAAGAAGAACCCGCGACTTCTTGGCCGCAGCGACTCAGGCCGGACCGAACGCGGCTGGTGACACGGGCCAGGTCGTGGTTCGCTCTCCCCTTCCCTGTGTGCTTAGCCTGTGGTGCATGGTGTAACACTGCAAGACCCTGCAGACCCTCCTGGGCCCTGCCCATCCAAAAAGGCCTCCTCCCACCAGGCGGTCCCACTTTCTCAGCTTTCCCTGTGGTAAGTGATGTAGAGCACGGTCGGGAGCATCTCCCTCGTAGCAAACCTGTAGCTGGGACTCACCTGCGGCGTGTGGGGCGGGCTAGTAGGTGATCTGCATGTTTTCATGCTCCTCCTTGTGTCACAGTTCCACGTGCTGCTTCACCAGCCAAACCGGGCCCAGGGAGGGAAGGAAGGGGTTTTGCAGGGCCATACAGACTGTCCAAGTGTTGAGCCATTTAAATGTCACATGGATTTTTTTCGATGCCTTTCTGCTTCTGTCGACTTTAGACGATGTATCCTAGAGCCATAACTTTACCTGCGTCCTCAGATTGTAGGCGTGAGCTGCTATGAGCCGATAGATGTGTAAAAGAAACTCTCCCTAGCTGCCAGGGAGTTGGGCCAGGCTCCTTCCAAACACCCTTATGTCTGTGGTGCAAACTGACCCGTCTTTGTGTGTGTCAAGGAACCTGATTCTTTGACAGCTGTATTCTTGAAACGTTGCCCCAAAGTGCTGTATCATCAGACTGTCATGTACGTGTGACACTGCTTTTGGTTTAGGTGTGGGTTTAAGACTCTTGGTTTCAGCCTCCCACCTGTTTCCTTCTTGCCACAACCCTTCGTTCTCTGCACGCCTGCTGCTGCCTTGGCTTCTTCCTAGGTTTGCATTAGGGGTTTGTTGTCTCCTGGAAGTCACAGGCCTGCGTGAAGCCAGAGCAGCCGAAAAGACAGGGTCTGGTTTATGCTTCACTCTCTCAGCTGCTTCCAACCCCACAGCAGGAAAGGGCAGCCCTTGGTAAGGCAGAGGGAGGGTGAGCAGCAGACTCAGGGTGACAGCATCTGCTCCTCACAGCAGCATCCTTTTTCTTTGCATCTGGGGCTGACTTTCAGAGGTTCATGGTTCTGTGATGCCATGAAGTCCCATGGGCTTTGCTCTTCTTTCCACTGCTCCAGGGCAGACGCTGTCACCGGGCTGGTACTTGCTGCGCCTCCTCCAGCCCCCCTCCCATGATACCAGGTCGCTGTGGGGGTACAGCACTGCTGGAGCAAAGGGATCTGAGTGGCCTTTGCCAAAGGGCTCCAAACCTAATGGTCGAGCCCTTGGTTCAGCACATGGTGTTAATTAAAAGCTTGCTCAGCCCTCACCACCTTAGTTACTGTCTTGAGCAGCCCGATAGTAGGAACAACTCTGCCAATCTCCAAGCTAGATGCCAGTCCCATATGAAACCTGGGAATGCTCAAGTCATTTTACTGCCAACATAACGTAGTTGCTCACCCCGGGAGCAGATTGATGTGCTTCAACCACCACAGGTATCTCAAACACCATGTATGATGTACTTCCAAATAAAGGCTACGATGCTACTAACTGACCCTACGTGAGGTTGCTTAATCTGAGCTCAGCAGACTCGGCACTAAAGTGGAGGAAAGGAAGGACAGAAGGAAGGAAGGTGAGGGCTTCTCCCTGCCTAAGAGTTCCAATGCTGAAGTAGAGCAGGAAGGGGAACGACTTCATTTTCATCCAGGCAGAGCAGTCGTGCTTTTCCCGCAGCTTACTGTGCAGGGAGTAGGTTTTAGCCAAGTGGAAGGCTCTGCATGGCTTCTGAAAGCTTTGCAAAGAGCAAAATCCCCCTCTCTGGGCCTCTGCTATCTCTTCAGCTGGTCCGAAACCAGGAGAACCCCCTTGACACGTTAAAAGAAGTGCCTAGTGCTTCAGCAAGAGAGCTCAGCCCTGCCCCAGGTGAGAAGAGAAGGCCACAGAGCCTTCAAAATACCCTTCATGTCCTTACACCTGCTGGAATCCTGATTGGTTTCATTTGCTTTTGAGCACAGGTAACCCCCCTTTTAGACTGGGTTTGGTTGACGGGGTGCTTGCAGCAGCCTGCCCTTGCTGGGTGGCAGCACAGCTCCGGGGTAGCCATAACTCTGCCCTTGGTGGCTTGTAACTGGGTCCAACAAACCCAGTTTATGTCACTGTTTTAGGGACAAAACCTCCTTTCATGGGCTGAAGCAAACACCAACCTGTTGTAAACCCCTCATGTAGTCAGCGTGGAGCGCCGAGTGCTCAGTGTGTGGGAGCAGAGCATGGTCAGAGGCTGCTCACACCCGACCTCTGTCCACCCCTATCGTAACATATCACCCATGGAAAGCACTTGTGGTGGTTTGTAACCCAAAGAGTGAGGCAGGTCGGTCCTAGAGCACTATTGGAGTGACCCTGAGCAATCACACACTGCGAAGGGATCCGAGGCTGTCACCCAGCTCCTCCTGTACCCAGTGTGCAGGGCAGCAGCTCTCCTGCCTCCGCGCTGCCCTGCACCCGCAGCCTGGTTCACTAGAGGCAGCCTGAGCAGTAGGACTGAACCTAGGTACATATATTTTGCACTTTTGATACTGGGGAGGGGGGAAGGTGGGAATTAACTTATTTGGCAAACTTGTCTTTTTTTATTTTGTGGTTTGGGGGGTTTTGGTTGGTTTTTGTACCTGTGACCAGGCACCGGCGGCGTTTCGGTTAAAGGCGATGACAGATTCGCAACCAAAATAAACTATTTTAATGTGTGATGAGGTGGCTCTTGTGTTTCCGTGGACAAACAGGTCCCAGGAGCAGTTTAACCTCCCCCGGTGCGGGCGATTCCCGGTTATTCCCAGCGGGAAACGCAGTCAGAAATTCTCCTATCCCCAGAATGAGCCCCAGGGCCACGCTTGTGCCCTCCCTTCCTCTACATTCATCCTCCCACTGCTGCACCTTAGTGGGAGAAACCTTTTACCAGTGACACTCCTGGCAGGAGTCCCCCTGGGCTGGGTGAGTAATTCCAGCTGTGGAAGCAGAGGCTTGCCCCCCTCGTTCTTTTTTTTTCACAAAAGCTCCAGACACCAATTAAACTGTTCAATTCCCTTCTGCTCCCTTCTCAGCTTCAGCTTTACCTTTTCTAGTGGTAAATGGTGTTTACTCCTTACTGCAAAACTTGGCTGCAACCACAAAGCTTCAGCTGAGCAAACCCTGCCCCTGGGGCAGGCGGGAGCTGCCCTCACATCGTCTTCACCCCAGGGAGAACACAGAGCATCTCAAAGAGCAGGTTTGCCCCCAGCAGGGCTGTGTTACCTGAAACAGGGAAAAATGGGGGAGAAACCCCACCCCACCAATGCCCAAGTGCCCTCACCACAGAGGTCACTGCCTTTGCCAGTCACGTCTCACTCTCCACTGGCTTTAGACTCACCAGAGACGTCGTACATGGGTGCGACTTCAACAAGGTCACATCCCACTATGTTCAGGCCTTTGCAGCCACGAATGATCTCCAAAGCCTGGGAAAGAAAACAGGTTTGGATCAAAAAGCACACGTGAGGTAGTGGAGTGGTCAGGGCTCTGCTGTTCCCACGTGCAGAGATTGAAACCCGAAGTGTTACAGGTCAAACTGTGTCAGCTCATAGAATCTCAGCCTGGGTTGGTTTGGAAAGGACCTTAAAGCTCCTCCAGTTCCAACCCCTGCCCCGGGCAGGGACACCTTCCA